AGTGAAGTTGATAGGTTGAAAAGGGATGTGGAAGGTGATAAAAAGTTCGGGGTTAAAGGAGATAGAAGAAAAGGGGGGAAGTAGTGGGCAGGTGAAGAAGGGAATTAAGAGAGAGTTGATAATGAAGATTCTTAGCTGGAATGTGAGGGGTATATGAAGTGCAAGGAAAGGAGCAACGATTAAAGAGGTGTTAAAGCGATTTGATCCGGACATTGTATTAATACAAGAGTCCAAAAGAATGGAGTTTGATGGCAGATGGGCAAAGAGTATTTGGAGAGCTAGGGGGACCAATTGGGTGGCTGCCTCATCATGGGGAGCCTGGTGTCTTCGGAAGCGCGTCGTTAAACACCCTGGAACACTAGTTTAAACATTTATAATTTTTACCGTTTCTCAAAAAACTACTAATGTAGTAAATGGGTGAGAACGGGTCGTATCCACAGGGAAGCAAGTGAAAAATTAATATATACTTAGATCTGGACAAGGGAATACAATCGAGAATTGCAGAAAATAAGAAAATAGAATCTATTATTGCTGAAATTAAATGTTTCGAATTTAAACAAGACAATAAATAAAAATCAGAATTTAATAAAGTATGGGAATCAACAAAGGAGATAAAAGAAATAAATAAAAAAAACGATCTAGAATCCGGATCCGATGGCGGTAGTTGAAGATCGGCTAGACAGCTTGCAGAAACACCTCCTAACAAGAACCGGGCGTCTGTCCTTTCTATAACCCTCGAACCCCTCGAGACACCTTAGCCTTGAACCGAACGAATTCAGATCTGCAAAACAGAGAAATGAACAAGAATTAAATCTAAAAGATTGCAGAAATAAAAATAACAGAAAAGAAAATAAAGAAAAGAAAAGAAAAGAATGGTTGATCAGATCCAGTGGCGGTAGTTGCAGATTGGTTGAACAGCTTGCAGGAACCCCTCCTGACAAGATCTGGGCGTCCTCCCCTTCTACAACCCTTGAACTCCTCAAGAAACCTTAGCCTTGTTAACTGGGTGAATTGACCAACCCCTTCTACAGGGCCCCTAGGACCCTTTTTATAGAGAAGGGTGGACACAACTGGAAATAGGGAGAAAGATGGGGGGCGACAAGTAGGATTTCGCAAAGTTAGGGACACCCTAAGGTTAAAAATGGATGGTTAGGATGGTATTGAGGTGATCCTATGGCTGAAAATAAAAGGAGAGGGCATTCATAAAAATAAAATAAAAGGAGAGAGTGCTCAATATTATGTAGGGCTGAGATTTGGGTGCCCAAAAATGGAGGGTGTAGATTAGAACTTCTAGGGTTGAAGGGTTAAGATTAAAAGAATAGGTAGTGCCCTAGATTGAATGGTTGGGATATAAGATGGAGGGAGTGGTTGAGATTTGGAGGTGAGGGGCTGAATGGTGAGGATTAGTAGAATAGGTGGCGCCCTAGGGTTTAAAAGCTATAAAGGAGAGCCCTAAAATGAGTGGTTGAGATTAAAAGAGGTGGAGGGTGGTGATTAAACACTTAGGGGCGGCTAGGGTTTGCTAAGAGTGAAAAGATTAGGTTAAAAAAGCTCCCTAGGGTTTGCTAAGGAGAGGGGAGCATGGTACTACAATAGGATGGGTGCCAACTGGGTTTAGCAGATTGGAGGTGCCCTCCTGTTCTCAGTTCTTTACAAAAACACCCTCTCTTAGCTGGTCTTCACACCACCTTCCCAAAAACTGCACTTCGGCCTAGAAAACTTCCCAATTTTCTACATAATTTGCATGGAGACCCTCAAAGGTCACATAATTGATTTTAACTGGGAAAAGGGTACGCTTTGACTATTCTAAGGCCGAAAATACCCCAAATGCAGGGTTATCAGAGCCTCAGGGGGGATAGTTACAATGTGGAAGAAGGATATGGTTGAAGGTGTGGAGGAGCTAATTGGGAAATATTCAGTTTCACTAAAGTTTAAGGAGACTGGTTTTCACTTATTGGTGATTTGCCAGTTGGGCACTTTTCCTTTTTGGGTGTAGATGGAATCCTCCATCAATTTGCAAAGCCTTTTTTCCCCCTCCTTCAGATGCCGAATGAAAAGGGGAAGGATCATGTGGAGATGTTTGAGGGCTGCAGTATTTTGGTCCCTATGGGAGGAAAGGAATTCTAGAATCTTCTCTGAAGTAGAAAGAAGCAATGAAGAACTGAGAGAACTGCTCCATATAAGGGTAGTACAGTGGCTGAAATCTTTAGAGCTGTTTATAGACTTCACAATGG